CCATAAAAACGCCTGAGAGAGGGTGCACGCCGCGTCATTACGCCTTGCCTTTGCCCTTGGGATTTTAAGTACCTAAAACAAATCCACAACCTGTAAGGTAAATGCTTAGTGAGTTTCCCAGAGCATACCACACATAATACACAATACACATATCCTGTTAGCTATAAAAGCTACATATAACACATAAGCCATGCATACATAACCCTGGAAGGATGTCATGTGCTACCCCACATGGTCTTTACATAGGAATGCCATGGACTACCCCACATGGTCTTACATCCAATGTCATGGGCTACCCCACATGGTCTTTACCTAAGAATGCCATGGGCTACCCCACATGGTCTTACATCCAATGTCATGGGCTACCCCACATGGTCTTTACCTAGGAATGTCATGGGCTACCCCACATGGTCTTACATCCAATGCCATGGGCTCCCCCCGGGGTCTTCCATGCAATAACACACAATCACATAGCATATCAAATCACTGAAATGACTAACACAGAATCATAATCACATAATGGGCCGGCCTTGGTGCCTTAGACCCATTGGTATGGTGAGAAGACTCACCTCTCGGATGCTGAACTGACAAGCTAGAATTAGATAGATCCCTCGTGCCGCTCCCACTCAGCTGCTTATAATCATTATGTGATTAACTTGTCAAAATCCCATAATTACCCTTAAGGTCAACTCTGGTCAAAGTCAAGGTCACCGGTCAAGGTCAACAATCCATGTTGACCTCAACTTGTCGAGTGCATCCAGCAACTCGTTGAGTTTCTGAGTAATCCATCTACTCGCCGAGTTACCTGTGTAACTCGCCTAGTCCCTCTTTGTCCACAACCGAAAACTCATGACAACCATAAATTGTTTACAGTCGAACACTCTTTACAACCGAAAATGGGTAAACCCTATTCGACTCGTCGAGTCAGCTAAGGGACTCGACGAGTTCCTTCAGTCTTCTTCAAGTTCAGCCCTTTTTAGTGGGATCTAGGGCCCCAAACTCCAGATCCAAGTTCTTCTAATGCAGATACCACGTAAAGTTGCAAACTTTACGTGCATACAAGGTCCTTCAAGGCTATAACTTCAAAACTAGGCTTCTTACAAGGTTTTTGTGTATGGGATTAGACCAAACTGCATAAAGGAAGCATCTTTATGGTATTTGGGAGCTAAAGAGGTCCATATATGGAACCCTATCCTTGTGATTAGTCCATATCCAAGTTTGACTCCATTTTACACCAAGAATGGCCATTTACTTCCAAGAAGAGAGATCTAAACAACTAGAGGTCCAGGTCACGACTTTATACCTTAGGATGATGGGCAATATGAAGTAGATGTTGGATCTACTGTTCCTCTCCTGTCTCCTTCTTCTTCAAGCTCCAAATCCCTTCACAATTACTCCAAGATTGCTCACAAAGGCTATTTCTCTCACTCAAGAGGGGTTTACGACCGCAAACTCTATTCTCTGGGTGATAAGGTGCTAAGGGAGGCCATAAGGGCAGGTTATGTTCTTTATATAGGGTGCAAACCCTTAATAATTAGGGTTTCTCTTTACAGCTCCTACTCGTCGAGTCGTCCTTCCGATTCGTCGAGTAGGTCTCGATCCCGTGTCAACCCATAAGGATCCTACTCGACGAGTTGAACTCTCAACTCGCCGAGTCCATGCACAAAACCTTAAACTTAAATAAATAATTTAAGCAATGCTTGGAACAGGCGTTACATGTTAAGCCATTAGCACTATGTGCCTATTAAGTGTCGTGAAGTGCTTATGAAGATTTTAAGAATATTTTGCTATGACGTGAGGTGCGGAGCGCCTAGTTTTAGTCACGGCATACCTAGCATTGACTTTGAACAATTTAACTTTTGGCCACACTTAAAATGTTTAAGCTATAGATTGAGGTATAACCTCTAATTAATATCTAGTTGGTACGTGAAACCGTTTCTGATGAGTGTTTACGTATAGCTAAGATCTCTTCAACTTTTGGTTCAAGTGAGTTATCTCGATAAACTATGTGTTACAATATATGTCATTTACATGATAGGATGTAGTGATATTATGGTATGTTATTTGTATGAGTAGGCTAGCAAAGTCTATTGTATGTTGATTGATTGATTATGTGATATTTTGATATGTATGTTTGAGGAGTTGGTGATGGATAGACACTAGAGCCGACAGCCTAGAATACTCGTGTCGATGACTGGACGTACACTATAGTCGTTAGTTGTTGTTGATGACTAGACATGCACTAGAGCTGTTAGTCTCCATTTGATTAGGTGGATGAACACTAGCGTTGAGAGTCTTTGTTTGTAAGTATTGCATGTGTATTGCAGTATGTAGTATTTTGGGCAACTCACTAAGCTTTGTGCTTACATTTATAGATTAAATGTTTTTCAGGTAGTTCTTCTAATCGTGGGAAGGCTCCAGCTTGACTCTATTGTATGCGCATCGTAGATGATTATATTTTTAAACTTTCGTTGATTATGTTGATTTTGATACACTGTTTTCCATGAATCGATTTTGATACATTTTGACACTATGGTTTGATGATGTTTAAACCAATTTATAACTGTGATCTTTTACGAAAATATTTTGGATGGTTTACTGTATTTTCAAAAGAAAATTTTGGGTTGAAATTTATGACGTTACAATTATCATGAAATGAGAACTAGTGACGACTACAAAAGAAGAAGCCATTGAAGCAACATAAAAGGCAAGCATCCAAAAATGGCGGATTAACATAATCATACACGTGGTTTTGATGATTTGATCGTACCCAATTCTTTATGCAATTCACTGTTTTTTGTGCATGTATCTAGTACCATGGTAAGAAATTATTGTTTGATCTTTTACCCATTTTTATACAGTTATTATAGTTTATCTTTTGATATAAAAATAAACCAAATTCCCCATCGAAATCAAATCCATCTCTTTATCTGCACTTGATCAAATGACCAGAAACACATAATATAAATAGAACACTTGTAGCTTTAAGGTCAAAGTGTGATGGAAACATGATCGATTTTGTGAAAAGAGTCATATACATGTAAAGTCAAACCCTCCATCATATTTATGGAAACCATAAATATAACACTTGCAAAAAAAATCGAATCACCCACCACTCCGAACATGTACTTAATCAAATCCCATTTTTTATCTGTATAAAATCAAAACCACCATCGAAATCGATTTTGTGAACAGAGATGGGTGTTCTTGATCGAAGAAGAAAATAATGGCTAAGAGGCGGTCTAATAGTTCGGACATCACCATCAGTTTTCCAAAGATGTCAACGTTGTCTGGACAAGATGATGTCCATATTCAAATTTTTATCGGATGTGAAAGACAAATCTCATTCTTCGATCTGAGTTTGATGAAGGATAACATCGATGGTGCACAAAGGTAATAATGATGGTCCGGAGAGAAACTAACAAAAGGAATCTCGATGCATACACGGTGGTGGTGATGACGTCCTTTAGATTGCCGATGAAAATGATTGAGGAAATATTAACGCATGTGATTTCTTGGAGAAGAAGGTGTGGAGTGGGCCCATTCAAATAAGTACTATTAAAAAATTGAAATCGATAATAATAATAATTAATAATAATAATAAGAAAGGGTATAAAAATCGTTTCAAGTTTTGTGGCATTAAACCCAAAATGAAACTAAATCATATGGATGGTTAGAGTTAAAAAAGAATTTAGGGACAAAATGTGCAAACTATTCCAAATTAAAAGGGCCATTCATGTAGTTTACTGTTTTTTATGATTTATTCTATAAAAAAAAGTATTTTTTAAGCCTTTAAAAAAAAGTTTAAGAACTTTCAATAATAAACCTATAATTCTCAGTTTATCAAATAAAAGTTAATATATATATATATATATATATATATATATATATATATATATATATATATATATATATGTTTATATTTCAGTTGTATCAATATAAACCATCAAAGTGTGACAACTTTTTGTATATCAACAAATTTGACTTCCTATAACATGTTAAAAGTGTTAAGAGTAGAATATTTTGTCAATATTTTAGCGAATTTAGTGGGATATATATTTAGTATCTAAAATTTTCATTAAAACCATTAAATTTTGATAAAATTTCATATTATGATCGGTTTATCTTATAATAACACGTCAAAAATAGTTGATATAATCTATTTTCAAACTTTAATTGTTTTTATTGTTGAATCTAAAATACAATGGACCCTCATTCCAAGACAGCACTTATAAATTTTACAATTTTGAAGTCTTACAAAAAAATATCTTATGATTAGTACGAAAAGAAAATAAATAATATCCGCAAATAAAAATAAAAAAGATCGATGGATATATTTGAAATGATTGATTAAATAAATAAAAAAACTGATTCCCATGTGGGTATCGTTGGTTAACGTCAGTGTTTTCTTGTAATCAGGATTGTGACTTGTGAACCACTTGATGTCTGCAACGTGTAATTTTAAATTAATTTTAATTTTGTTTTCCATTTAAGGGTAGGCCCATCACTAACTCTGTCCATTTTGGAAGCTTTCTGCTACTTGCCTTCTCCTCTCTCCATCACTTCTTTTGATGCTTTTTCAGATTTTGGTTCATTGTATTCATTTCTCTATCATATCTATCTTTTTCATCATTTTCATAAATCCCTTTTTTACTCAACCATAATAATAATAACATAACAACATCGTTAAATACCATGAACATGATGTCAAACTCTCACTGCAAATCCACAAATCATTACAACATTATTTATTGGTCCAGACTTGTCAATTACTGCTTCAAAAGAGGAGACTCCCTTACACCAATATATTTCAGTTCCTATTAAATATATTCTTTCATCTTTACCTTTGAACTTTTTTTTTTTAAAGTTGATTACTACTTTAACAAAGGATTAATACATGAAATGTGGAGCTAACTATGTGAAGGAAGGAGTTAGACTTGTATTTCTTTGTGGTGAGGTGTAATTTTGTACAAAATGTTATTGTTAAAATGCTAATGTTGTCATCCAAAATGGAAGCCTCCTATTGGTTTATAAGAATTGTTTGGAGATGGAAGCTTTAAAGTTGCTATAATCCCAGCAGCAAGAGCGCTTACAGAAGCAAGAACAAACGCCGGGACATTCCCTCCACCAAATAACGCGTCCCATGGGCCCGCACCAAGTGACACAATCATCTAAACATTATTATAAATACAAAATTTATATAAATATTATTATTATTTTTTGTTAAAATGTTAGTGATCAAAATACCTGTGGTATTACAATTGCAAGATTCAAAACCCCAATCGCCAATCCTACAAACAAAACGAAAAAAAATTTAAGGGTGTAATTAAAAATTAAAAATTAAAAATTAAAATTAATTACCTTGGCCACCTCCTGTATCAGCGGTTAGATCTGCTGTCATAGAGAAGGGAACACTGTAAGTTATCTGCAACAAACAGATACTCCGGTTAATTTTAATTAGATCTGGTGATTCCATTCCTTTGTTGTGATTCCATTCCGATTACTTACAGCAAGAGGAAGTCCAAGAATGGCAAACACAACCAACGAAGCATTTTTTATTGCTTCATTTCCTCCGATCCCTTGTGATTCCCCCAAAGAAATTAAAGTAATAATTGCAGTTCCCGCCATGCAAGCAAACACAATAAAATTGCTTACTGCCCATAAATATTTCGAACCGATCAATTGACACATTGGCTCGATTAGAAACGAACTTATACCAAGAACCACCTGTCACAATATATTTCAGTATTTTAAAAAAAAGTAATACTTTACTACTATTATATTATTATTATTATTGGTGTTTGATTTTGATTTTGAGGTCTTACTGAGTTCAATAGCAAACCAAATGCACCTTCTCTTACACCTTCATCATAAGCTTTGATTTCAATCGCACTTCCCTTTGGATCACCATGATACACCTCTCTACCCATCCAATCTGTATCAAAAAGAAAAAAAGGAAACCACGACAACTGCAAACATACATACACATAATCACATCAAAAAATATATATGTAAATATATAAGTCCATTTTGTAATGATATAAGTTTTTTTGAATTGAATATTTAAACTTACCCAAGTAAGGGCCATTACGAGAAGGACAGAGTGCATTCCTAATGGTAAATGGCGTAAGCTGGTCAAAAGGTTGACCAGGACAGCTCCTGGACTGTCGCTAAAAGTCTCGACTTGATCTTTAGCTGCTGAGTCAGCGTTTCTTTCATTGGTGTCCAATTCGAAAACACTTTCGGGCATGTTTCCTACTTTGTGGTGAACTGCGTTTTTCCGGGGTTTTGATTCGGTGTGGTCAGGACTATGGTCATGATGCGGTGGATCCTCGACAAGAGGGACTGCGTCTGATAACCTCAGATGTTGTTTTGGTGCTAATGGAACCTCTTTTGCAAAGTAGAGTGTCACCATTGTGCAAAACGTAAGAAAAATCTGTGTAAAAAAAATCCAACAAAAAAAAGGTCTCATATCAAAAAAAGTTCTCATATAAAAAACATGTGTGTGTTATAAAACTCACCACTGCAACTAAAAATGCTGCTTTTAGATTTCCACAAGCCTCACAACAAGCTCTATTTGTCAAGAAAGGGAACCATCTGAAAATGGGAATTGTGTTATAAATCTTAGAGTCTTTAAGAATAACGAGAAAAAAAAATGTTTAATTTTATTGATTGACGTTGATTGTAATTAAAATGTTTTACGGTTTTACCTATGCCAATTTCCACTAGCACCAGATGAAAATCCTAAAATGTTTCCAATTGCCATCCATGAGCAAAATATAGCATTTGCTGAGTTTCTTTGATCAGGGCCTATTGGAAGGATTTTAAATATTAGTATTTTTTGATGATATTTTAAAAAATGATGTTTTCAAAGTGTTTGACAGAAGTTAGTAAATATAAAATATAAATATAACCTGCTAAATCAGCGAGAAGAGCTCGGGCAGGGCCCTAGAATTAGTAAGATAATTATTTGGATGTAAAATGTGATAGTTAAAAATGTGTTAATGCACAAAAATAAATGATTAAAAAAAAAAAAAAAAAAACTTGCCTGAACTGTGTTGTTAGCAAGGTCCAACATCCAAAATCCTAAGATGAACACGAAAGCTGCTCTTGTACGAGTACCTTTGAATGTGCTGCAATATATAAATATAGATTAACTAGTTTATATAATTATATTACTTTTATTTATGGTAACTATAAAAATAGGGGACCTGCAATGTTCTTTTGTATCTCCGAAGAAGTATCCAATGTCTGCAGAAAACCCGATAATTATCACCTAAAGTGCAAAGTCTAGTTTAGTGGAGATAAAATATGGTAATTAAGAAAGGTAGATAGATGGATTTTGTAATGTAATGCTCACAGCAAGTGATATCATGAGGGATCCAATTAGAATAAATGGTCGTCTTCTTCCATATTTTGAAGAGCATTTGTCACTCCAAATGCCAACACAAGGTTGAACCTGAAAGACAAAATTATTTCAGGAGGGTTAATCACAAAACTTATATGACAACCAACCAGGCCTTAATATGGGAGATTCCTTTAAGATGATGACTTTCACCAATTTACATAGAAAAAACAAGAATGGAGTGAAGGTCCATTGTGATAATTGATGAACTATTAGATGAGTTTTATGGAGCTAAATAATTGATGAACTATTAATTGAGTTGTATGGAACTAAATAATTGATGAACTATTAGATGAGTTTTATGGAGCTAAATAATTGATGAACTATCAGATTAGCATGAGGGTGGTATTTAGAGTGTTGATACGTAACAAATGCTTTTTCATGGATTTGGTTGCATCAGGTATCATCAAATTAGAATGTGTAAGGAAGATGTACAAAAAACAATGTTTTGAGCTCATGAAAGGCATTACAAGTTTTTGGTATTTTGATCATATATTTGTGTACAGTAAGTTCGAGGAGGAACATTGCAATCATTTGCATGCGGTCCTTCGACAGTTGATGCATTGACATTTGCACGCAAATAAAAATGTGACTTGGGAATTGAAGAGGTTGGAAATTTGGGTCATGTATTTTGCAAACGTGGGTAGCAATGGATCATTCTAAGCACAAAGCAATGTTGCAATGGCTAATATAGAAAGTTTAAAATGGGGTATGGACATAACTCAAGGGTTATAGACAAGTTTATCAAAGAAACACAGATTTGCATGGAGTAAAGAGGCACCAACGGCCATTGAAATTTTGTAGAAGGTCTTGACTTCAGCTTGTGTGCTCGCATTGCCTATTTTTACAAAGCCATTTGTTGCTAAAACTAATGCAAAAGGGGCCTCCATTAGTCTCCTCAACCAAGTTTGGTGTACAAGAGTTTGGAAAAAGCCTATTTATGGCTAGACTTGATGGCAATTGTGTTTGCAATCTTGAAATGCCATCCGTACTTTGTAGGTCATGAGGGATGAATATTAAAACGATGAATAGAACAAAAGAGACTAAGGCAGTCGAATGTGGTTCACCATTTATTGCTACTGCGATTCCTCCGAAGTGAAAAACTGAATGGAAGGAATTTCAAAGTATCACCTTAAACAAACAAACAAACAAACAAACAAACAAACAAACAAAAAAAAAAAAACAAAAAAAACAAAAAAAAAAAAAACATGACAAAACTATATATAGCTAAGAGAAATAACAAAGACCGCAAAAAATCAAGTAACTCCTTAGGAAACTTTCAACCCTATCCAACGTTCCCACGCATGTTCTCTACTCCCATTTTACTTGGTCAAGGCTGACTCTGCCATATCATCCTACATTACCCGTTGACTCGTACCCATGACCCGATAAATAAACGATTAAGCCAACAATCACCCCTCTTAATCGTTTATTCACACCCTTCACTCACAACAACGTTTAATCACCTTAGGACCATCTCGATTCTCGACCTTTCCTGGACACCCGACCTCCACCTTGATCACATCCAAAGTCTTCTCTAAACCTCTTTTGATTATTCACAACACCTGCAACATGTAACATGGCATCCCGTTGGACACATTAATTATCATCTCGACTTTTCTCGGATCCACGATCTCTTCCTCTCACATCCAAAGCCATCCGATTTGAACTTCCACCGCCATAATGTTTACACCATGTTGTTTCTCCATTACATTATGTCTTGACAGCCATACATTTGCTGATCAAGCCTATTCCGAGAGATTCTTCCACCGATCAATAAAACAAGGTCACCACTACCTTTACCGTCTTCTATCACCCGCAACACGAACCGAACTCAAAGCCACCTCTTTCATTTCCTTCCGCTCATCTTTTCCACACCTTTAGTTAATTAATCTCCCTTTATCACACAAACAAGTCGATCAAGGACGTAACATGCTTTCAAGACTTCAACCTGTGATCATAACATCATAGCCCCTTCAAAACAAAACCCGATTCCCTGTTGTGTTGTTACGATTCCACATAGGCCGAAAGTAAATTAAGTTGGTGACTTATAAATTCAAGTGTCCCCTCCTCCTACAAGCTGGCTTTTGAGAGTGAGTTCTACACTCGAGCTTATGGCATGATACGGGCTTGGTATTGATGGGTTCGTATTATACGCATGCCCTACAATGAAGGGCTACACCTTTTCTTGAAACCGACCTTCTACGTCTTCATGATCCCTAGGCTCTGATACCAAATGTAGGTTATAAGGGATGAATACTAAAATAGTGAATGGAACAAAAGAGACTAATGCAGTCAAATGGTTCACCCTTATTACTACTGTAATGCTTACAAAGTGAAAAACTGAAAAGAAGGAATTTCGAAGTATCACCTTAAACACAAAAACTGAAAAAGAAGGAATCTTAAAGTATGATCTTAAACACAAAAAACATGACATAACTTTAAATAGCTAAGAGAAATAACATAGACTACAAAAAAAATCTGAAACTCCTTAGGAAACATTCAACCCTATCCAACGTTCCCATGCACGTTCTCTACTCTCATTTTACTTGGACAAGGCTGACTCTACCACGTCATCCTAAATTGACACGCTGACCCATACTCGTGACTCAGTTTTTTTTTTTTGAAAGAGCTACTCGTGACCCAGTTAATAAAAGATTAACCCAACATACTTGTTGGAGAGAAAATTCATCATAAGAACGTACAAACAAAGCATGAAGTTTTTGTTTCAACAATGTGTAATTGAATTATTGTATCATAAAATGGGTAATGAAGTTGTTACAAGTAACAAATAATAAAATACTAGGGAGGTCAGTGCACCATCATTTAGGAATTTGGAGTGCTCCGTGATGGGAGGGCATTATTGGCTACAATGGGAGATGATTACGAACGAGTATTGGTATAATACAACGCTCCATAGTTCACTTGGTTTTTTCTCTCCCTTTAAGGCTCTACAGGGAAGGGAGCCTCCGAACTATTACTAAAAAAGAGATAACATATTCAGGATTGTCAAAAACACCCCGCTAGGACCGTTTCCAAACAGGGTGTATTTTTTAAAAAGTTTTCATGGTTGGGATCGGGGTAGGGGGAAGGTAGTCTCGTCTCAAATACCCTACGGGGCCCCAAAATAATTATGCTATATTTCAGTAGTTTTTATTTATAACATATAAATATTAAAATAGAGTAACGATAGTGACATCTATAAACATGTTGGAAAATTTTGGGGGCAGGGGGATGTTTACCTGCCCATTTGGCCCTAGTGACATCTATAAACATATTGGAAAAATTAAGGATGCATCTGATTCTTGCTCATTAAAGATGAAAGTTTGAGGAAGACAAACATCAAAAATATGATTCTTTGAAGTGGGGGAGAAGGTGTTTCTCAAACCAAGGCCTAAGGGATAGGTTATTAATAGGAATAAGAATCAAAAGTTTTCAGCTCAATTTCATGGGTCCTTTGAGGTGCTAGAAAGTGTAGGGAATGTCACACACCATATGAATTTATGACCAATCGCTAAAGTCCATTATGTTTTTCATATTTCCTAATTGCATAGAGCCATTGGGCAATGCAAATTCATCCGACGTTATTCCTCGTGATCTCAGTCCTAACAAAACTAGTGTTTCACATCTCTCACTTCCTATTGCATATTCAGGCCCTCCTCATTCTAGCGTTGGGATGCCACCAAATGCTTCACCTACTGCCTTGGTTCTAGAATCTTGGTCCTAACAAAACTACTTCCAACATCCTTGTTAAATGGTTTAACCTTCCTGAATCTTAAACAATGTGGGAAACCACCCTTAATTTTATCAAACGCCTTCCTAAATTTAACCCTGAGGACACGACCAATTTGGGAAAGGACCATAAGATTATGAGATCACATGAAGTTATTAGGAGTTTTTATTATTATTCCATTTCAATTTAATTTCTTTTTATTTCATCCTACAACTTTAAATAATGTAAGAAGAAATCATTTTGGGATATGAAAAATATTGCTTTGTTTTCTACACTCTCATCATCTTCTTCCTGTTCCTCTAAAGCTCAGCCTTACTCAAAACAGGCCTACCCCCTATAGGTCTTCCTATCATGTCAATACCTTTCCTACTACTTTTGAAAAGAATTGCCAACAACTATAGACTAGTAGTTGAAGGTACTAAATTTCCATTGATGTGAAATGTACAAAAAATTTATGACTAAGCAAGTAAAGTGGTGACTTCCTTAGGTAAAAAGTAGTGATATTAAAGCAAGTAAAGGAACCTTCTCAGAGCTATCTAAGGTTGTGTTATGATGTCGCTCTACTGTAACTGAAATTTCATAAATAAATTCACATTAATATCAAATTTTGTGCTCTCTTATTCATATATATTCCACATTTCAACTAGATCAAGAAGCCAATGTTTCTTTTTTTTTAAATGTTCAAAGAGATTTAACAATAAATACCTAAAAACCCAACAATATGTTGATGGGGAATGATTGATCAATTGTTTGGTTGTTCCATTATGTCGATCCAAAACAACATAATGCATATTTCCTCATTTAGCCAAAAATCAATTTTAACTGTAAATTGTTCCAAAAGATTCTCAAATAACTTACGGTGGACAGATTTCATTACCTCACTCTCTTTTTTCCTACTTTTTCTAGCACTTATCACACGGGCACTCCATCTTATCTTTTGCAACTTCTTCTTGTAGGTTTATGTCCTTTAAAGAACTCAGATATAAGTTAATGTTACTATCTATGAAAGAGTTATACCTAAGTTAAATAATAGTTCATAGCCATGAGGTGGAGAAATGGTAATAAGACAAAAAGAGTTGTGAACAAGCTAAATATACAACATAAACAACATAAACAAGAGTTGTCATTTGCATACCAACCATGTTAACAAAACAAATTTCATGTGTTATAAAGCAGTGACATACTTCTGAACTTTAAAATGAAATTTAGATAAGTGAAAAGATATTATTGTAACTTACCACAAGACCTGTAATAGGACCACAAAGCCAGATAAAGGAAGAGAATGCATGCCCTATTCCAAGTGTCTGTATCGAAAATAAAAGGAGGGAATCAATAAGAAAGTAACAACAATAGAACAAGACATGCTAACATGAACACTGACAATTGACTATCTGCATTTACATATTAGGCATGGTCTTTTTAGCTTCATACACAATTAACAGATGAAGAAACTCGCATAGGCAATATCAAACAATAGGACTATTCCTATTAGAGGTATATCTAGTGATCAATTCCAGGCACAAAATATCAAGCATGAAGGCTTCCAACTACTTAAAGACTAAAGCACAAATCCATGAAGCAATTTTATCCAAAAGAAGTCTGAGTCATGATTGGTGGACAAGGAATAGGTTTTACTGAATTCTTAGATTCTCGCCTGAAAACCAGGTACTCATGTTCCATCTGGCATTTACTTGCAACCATTTTTATCTTTATAAGTTAACACTGAATTCTAATATTTAGGTAAAAACCAACATAACTCCCCAGAATGTATAGTGAAGAGAAAAAAGGACGCATCACTGTTGGTTTAAAGGGCTCCAAATCACCAAAAGTACATTCCCTACGAGAAATATTCAAATTGCCAAAGTAAAAAAAAAAAAAAAAAAAAAAAAAACCTGAATGTAAGGTGTTAGAAGCGAGAGTTGCAGGGCCCATCCAAATTGAACACCAGCGGCAACAGTACAACTCAAAATCAACGTAATCAAGCTAGAATTGTTGGTCGGTGGTCCTTGCGGCGGAGAAGAAGAATTTGAGGCAATTCCATGGGGAAATACATTAGAAGTATCGGATTCCATGCGTCGATTAGCTTCCTCTTCGAATTTCATTATTTCAACCTCCGCGTCTGCATCATTCCTGAGGTTTTTGTAGGGAACACGGATCGACATTGAATCCATATTTTATTCAAATTCACATACATACATAACACATTGTGATGGATAATTGGATATAGACCTAATTTGATACGCTTTCGTCGAAATGAACGAATTTCAGATCTACGATTATTGTAGATTTGCAATGGCCAGTAAGTCACGAACAATTGACGTATCGTCAAAGTTGGCCGGGGGAAGGGGAGCTGATGTTGTTATGGATAGGAGGAACATGAGAAAGAGACGTGATGTTGGTAACACCATTAAATTGTCTTCGTCAATAGGACTCGTGTTGATTTCCATTCCCCCACCCTTTCATATTCATTCTTTTTAAGTATTTTAATTTAAGATCTTATATTCAATTAAATTTAGAACAAATTACTAAAATCGTCCCTGTGGTTAGGCAAAAATTACGTGTTTGGTCCCTAACATTTTTTTGCACTCGGACCGTCCCTATTGTTTTTTTTGTTGAGTCTTTAGTCCCTGTCAGATGTGAAAAGACTATATTGCCCTTATTAATTTTTTTTAATTAATTTATCATTTATTTATTATTAATCTATTTAAAAAGTTGTTAATTAATACATAATGGTCCCACCACCCACATCCTTCTCCTTCCCAACGACACCACCACATCCGTCATCAAACCCCACGAGCACCACTTTCGATGTCAAACACCACCACCACCTCCGACATCAAATGCCATCATCGCCACCACTACCATCGAACACAAACACCTGCCCATAAATCATGAAATCGATGTGCTCAAACCCAGACATAAAACCTGCTCAAACCCAAAAATCATGCCCAGAAAAAATATTCTCTGATGCTTAATCTCTTCGATGACTAGAAAAAATTAATTATTTAGAGTTTAATTTTTATTTCATACTCAAGACAAGTTAAACCAGATTTTTGGTAGACCCACATAAACTCGTCAAGAACATAACCTGTTTTGAAACAAATCAACCCTAAAACATCCATTGATTCTCTAAAATTCAAAACAAAATCTTGAATATGTTCTCTCAAAATGGTTTTTATAAAATCTCTAATCACAAAAATCCTAAAGTTACAGAGTGAGATTTCATCTAGAATCACCGTCATCGGAAGAAACAGAAGTAGCATTGGTGCAGGTGTAGCAATGGATGTATGATGGTGGATGGTGGTGATGGAGGTCTAACTATGGCAATGAGGATCAAGTGGAATTGAGAGAGGTGTGGATTTGGGAAGGAGAATGACGATTTAGCTTTCTTAACAAGTGAGAGAATGTGGGTGAGAGGAAGAGGTGGCTTTCTAAACTATGCTCCGATGAGTATATCGATGAACTTCAATTCTTAAACTTGGCTCCAATGAACTGCAACCCTAAACCAAATCCATAAATTGAAATAAAGTTTATATGATACTGGGAAAGAAATAAAGGATTGTGGGGAGGAAATGATAAAGGGTGTGGGGTGGGGCCACCCTAATTAATATTTTTAGCCTACCCTATAATATTTTTAGAAAAGTAATATAATTTATAAAAAAAAATAAAAAAAAAAACTCATCAGAAAAGGTAGTTTGGTCTTTTCACCTCTGACGGGGACCAAAGACACAACAAAATAAAACTATAGGGACGGTCCGAGTGCAAAAAAATGTTAGGGACCAAACACGTAAATTTTGCCAAACCACATGGACAATTTCAGTAATTTGTTCTTAAATTTATATATTATTATCTTTTGAAATACTAGTGAAATTATTAAATTGTAGACAATTTGCAGGTTAGCCGGTATTCCATCCGATTAATAACATATGTGAGTGTTGTGTGTAGGAACGTAATTGAATATGAGATCAAAATGTAGGGAATTAATTGAATATGATGTCAAAATGTAATGACTTTATTAGATATTTCTAAGCGTGAAAATTCGGGTTTCATGAACCTAAATGAGATGTATCATTCGCACTTTGTTTAAATAGTATAAAGTTAAATCGAAAATCAAAACACCCAAAAGTATCTTCATTATTGAACACCATTGCTACAGTCTAATTAAACATGAGTTAAGAAAACAATTTTAACTTTCAAAAGTTCAATCAAAAGTGATTGCGAAAAATTACGGTTCCAAACACCTTAAAATAATAAAAAAATGTTTTAAAAATAAGTGTGATGGATAACATCTGCATCAAAACAATGTTTAAGTACCATACATCACATGACATTCTAAATGTCCTTTTTTATTCTTCAAGTCTCTACTTTTTAATTTTTAATATGAGTACACATCAAAATAAGGTTAGACATAGAATTGCTTAGTGAGTACATCGGAAGTTGACTTTTAGTTAGTGAGAAGGTTGCAACCTTTCACTCAAGTTAAACCTCCAAAAATGTTTTAAGTCAAACAAAACTTAAAGCAAAAGGGCATAATAGGCCTAAAGTTTATAAAAATGGGTAAATAAAGAATATCACAATAAAGATAGTCAAACAACATTTAAAGCAAAAGGGCATAATAGGCCTACAGATTATACAAAATGGGTAAATAAAGAATACCAATATAAAGATGAAATGCATGCAATTATCCCAATCCCTATGTAAATCTTAATAGTTCATTCCAATATGGAAAATGACATTGAAGGGGTCTCCCTTCAAGAGAATAGAAATGGTAGGACCTTTACCATTAGATGGGACCCCCATCTACAATGTCCATGAATGATAGGACCCATATCATATTAGGAACTATGGAGCCATTATCCCCAGTTTCACATAAGTGATAGCTAACCCACATGTGTATGTGAGGATTATTTAGACATATACTCACCATCACATCAATACTTTGGTCGGGTCCGGGTAAACACAATTCACTCTCAACCTAACATGAATGCAACAAGTAAGATGCTAAAACACTTCTCAAATTAAGTGTAGATTTTGCTATAAAAAAGTTTCTCAAACTTGTTTCAATATTGTAATAAGTATATATAATAGTAAATTAGCAATCAAGGTTTCATAGGAAAATGATCATTTGAAAGTATAGAAGGTATGGTGTAGGGATGTATAATTCTGGTGAACTCAACTTGAAAATTATTTTAGTATCCTCAAGTACATCCCATCTATTTCTAGAATACGTGGGAATTCAAACGTCACCTAAAAGCATCATATTATATGTCAAAATCCTATTAAGTAACCCATCAAGTCACTTATAAACATTAATACTAAAAGTGAGATTTTGTTATTTCAATGTATTCTTCATGTTAAAATATGAACATAAGCGAAAACAGGGTACTAATTTGGGGGTCGGATGCAAAAGTTATGGCTGTTACAAATTTTGGCCCCAACATAACATTTCTATGCGGACGCATGGCAAAAAGCCTCCTAACCGTGTGAATCTAGCATATGAGCTTGTGGACACTCATGTAAAATGCTCATGTGCATCCAAACTATTCCAACTCTACTTTAAACCATTTTCAAGGCTTGGTATATTTTAAGAACTTAATTACTTGTGATCTAAAACTCTCATAACATCCCTAGCTTTGTACGACTGTATATTAAACTAAACTTCTTGGTTTGGACATAAAACTTCATTTAAAAGAGTTTGTGGACTCTTTTGCACAATTGTCCATGTTTAACCATTATCTTAATGTTAAGTCCTTTCGACATCATAAAAGATAAAAGAAAAACTTATTTAGACACCCAACATCTACTTAATAAGTTCAAATGATTTCCAATATTACCCTTAAACCTTGGAATATCTGATTCTATTGGAACCATGGGTTATAATGAGTGATTCTAGAGTTGATGCAACTCAAAACTTGTTTTACAACATTGGCTTCCAAACCTAACCATTTACTTGAATTAGTTCTTCATTAATCGAATAATTCCAACAAATGATGATTTAAAGCACTGGATTCACAATCAAAGTCTCATAAGTTGTCAATGAAAACCTAGATCAAGCTAATCTTCAAATTGGATTTTCAGATATTCAGATTATCCAAAAATTCAAATATATAAACGTATATTTTCCTCTTTTTTTTCTTTCAAAACTAAGATTAGTGTAAGGGTTAAGAGTTTAGGGGTTTACTTTTCTTTAACATGGTTTATGACCATTTAAATGCACATAAAGTCATTAAATTCTTGGATTTGTTTTCGTTTTTATAGATGCCGAGTGTTACTTACCACATAATGCAAATTTTCATTGTCACTTGTTTAATTTATATATGTAAGTGGTAAGATTGAAAATACCGAATGAAATCAACAATCAATTTTATATAAAAACAACACATTTCAGTAGCACATTCACTATCGACATATGCTTAATAATCAATCATGTGTATGATTAGCATAAGCTATATACTTTTACTAGTCCAAATCATATTAATGTTTGCAAAACCCTATCAATGAATTATGAAATAGCCATATATACAAGGGTCAATCTTGTTACAAACAGACAATAACAGAGAAGGATTTTATGTAACACGTTTAAGCTATTGGTGAATCAACAATGTTTGGTTGATGCAGCTGCATTGTATATCTCTATTTGTATAGTTCGACACTTTAAGTTGCTACTTGTGCGGTTTAAAAAAAAAATTTGGACATCCAATAATGGTATTGTTTTACATTAAGTGAGTTTATATTAGATTTTTAGATATCAAAATCCACTATCCGAGTTTTAGGATATTTGGTTTGAACACCCCTACTAATGCATACCGTAAAGATTGTCCCTAAAAATTGACTTTCATCGTATATAACTTATTTCTTTTTTTATTGCTTGGGACTAGCAATGTTTAAAGTTTAAGGATGTATTTATTGCTCACTTTTTAATCACTAAATCGTTTAAAAACATCATTTTTTAACCCTGAATTTTAGTTTTAAAAGCTTTTGAGCATAAAATGGATTAAGTAAGTTGAATTGCATGCAAAACTAAAAATGGAGTAACACTCGACCTCTATAAAAACGAAAATAAATAATTGATTAGCAAGTTGTCGAAGGCCAAAGAGTTAGATGTTGAAGATACCGAGTCGAGGCAAACTAGGATTAGCTAAAAAGAGAGTCACTGTCGAGTTTTTTGAGTCAGAGTTGCACGAGCAGTGTTTTTTAATTTTTACTTGAGCAAATCAAACATCTTATTGGGCACATTAGAAGAATTAGGAGGTTCAACTAAAAACGAGAGCTTGTATTGTAGTGACTATCAAAAGCAGATTATGAGGTTTAACTAAAAACGAGATTGCAGCTAAACAACGATGTGGGCTTGGGCTTGAGAGTCTGAATAGATCAAATGGGCAAAGCCCAATATCCTTACAAATCTATACTCAATAGTCAATATCCAGAAGATTGATGTTGAATTCTTATTATTTTCAAAACCCAGAGGTGGGCTTGGGCTTGAGAGTCAAGATTATCTTCATCTCCATAATTCATCATCTCTTGGCTCTTGTCATCAACACAGCCCTACATCACGCATCATCTGCTCCATGACAATTGCCAACGCCATTATGCCATCATCTTCTCCACGCCACCATTGGCCAACACCCGTCATCATCTTCATCTCCGCCGCCTAACCACCACCTGCGATAACCATCTCTCCACCACCACAGCCGAACACATGCGCCACCATCATCTTCACAGAAGCAGCAAAAGAGTGGATGCTGAGTATGTTTCCTGGATTACAGCATATCAGGGGAGGGACGATTCAAGAAAAAAAAAAGTGATCTAACTTCTTTTGTGGGCAGCTTGCACGCAACTGGATAGGATCTCTCGAGTTGTTTTGG